GTCTGCCAGCTGACACCACCTACGTTAGCAGGTGTCTTAGTTAGGGTTTCTATTTCTACAACCAAAATCCATGGCCAGGAAGCAAGCTGGGGAGGAAAGTGTTTGTCTTACACTTCCACATTGCTGTTCATCACTGAAGGAAGTCAGGGCAGGAACTCAAGCTGGACAGGAACCTGGAGACAGGAGCAGATGCAGAGGCCATGGAAGGTGCTGCCGCTTACTTGCTTGCTCCCCATGGCTTGCTCAGCTTGCTTTCTTATAGAATCTAGGAACCACCTGCCCAGGGATAGCCCCACCCACCATGGACTGGGCCTCCCCCATTGATCACTAAAAGAGAAAATGCCTTACAGCTGGGTCTCATGAAGGCATTTCCTCAGCTGAGGCTCCTTCCTCTGATGACTCTAGCTTGTGTCAACCGGATAACACAAAACCAGCCGGGCCAGTGGGGTTGTTACTGGAGGTTTTAGGGCAAAAGCCCTGGTTTCAGGAATCCAAACACACTAAGCTGAGCTACCCAACCAGCCAGTTGAAGAAAGCAGCAGTGAAGAGAAAGATTTGGATACGTCGGGAGCATAGATAGAGGGGTTCAGTGACCCCAGGTCCACTTTCCAGCAGACTGACATGACTGAAATGAGAAGGAATGGGCTGGGGAGACGGCTCAGTGGTTAAGAACATTAGCTGCTCTTCCAGAGGACCCAGGTTTGGTTCCTAGTACATATGGTGTCTCACAACTTTCTGTAACTTCAATTCCAGGGAGTCTGACACCATCTTCTGGGCTCCTTGGGAGCCATCCGTGCATGTGATATACTGTACATGTAGACAAAACAGCCATACACATAAATTGGTAAGAAAAAAAATTTAAAAATAGAGGAAGAGTAGAGGGGCAGGGAAGTGGAGGTGATCAAGGTGGTCTGGTAGAGCCATGTGTGTGTTCATGCCTGCATAGGGTGGCCCTTACTGCCTGGTGCGGGCGGGGCGGGAGCTTGTTCTCTGGGAGCTTAGGAAATGCTCCAAAACATGCTCTGCCACCAGAGACGGTTGCCTTCATCTGGAGCAAAAGGCTTTGCCACTCCTGCCCCCAAGGTGACTGCAGATCACTGAAGAGCCCAAGGTGTTATAGTGGGGCCTGGGCCAGGGATGATATAGGTGGTGGTTTACAACTTAACAGCAGAATCAGGACTAAGGGGATGGAGTGCAACAGATAGGTATGTCTGTCTTTGATCAGAGACTCATGAAATTGTTGGGGTTGGGGGGGGTTGTTTTGGTTTTGTTTTTTGAGACAGGGTTTCTCTTTATTGCTTTGGAACCTGTCCTGGAACTAGCTCAGTCGACCAGGCTGGACTTGAACTCACAGAGTTGAATCTCACAGAGATTCATTTGGACCAGTAAGTTTTGGAGTTGATACAGTCTCTCAAATGTTTCTCTTTGGAAGAAAAAATACTGTTTTGCTTAGTCACCGTTACTATTACATTTAAACCGACTGCAGAACTGGGTGCAGTGACCGGTCTTGGTTCTTGGCTCTAGTCACCATGACCTCTGCTTGTTCTCTGGCACAGGGTGGAGCCAGTGGCCCCACAGCTCATTAGGGAATTCCTGCGATTCTCTAATGCAGCCTAGGCTGGGTTTTAAATGTTGAGATGAAGTGAATAGCTCTTGCTTTTGTTGATATTAGTGTTCCATGACTCATTGCATTGCCAGTTGCTTTAACTGACAAACTGGAGTTTAATTTCAGCTAAGTACTGTGCTTTTCAAAGCCACACTAAGAGGAAGGGCTGGCTCTGGTGCCAAGAGTACAAAAGAAACAATTATGCAATGTTTGCTTCCCTTTCAACTCAGGACATCAGAATCTGGGAATAAATATAAGACATTTGAATGTTTGCAGGGGTGGGAGTTGAGGGGGGTGTTGAGCCATCAAAATATTTCTGGGGCTCATAGCCCTACACTCTAAGAGTGAACACAAAACCTGCCCACCCTTTAGGCTCTGGCGCCTTGCCCTGTTTGCCTGTTACATCTGCTCCTTGAGTGCTGGGATTAAGGTGCTACTGCTATGCCTTGATGACATCCATTCCTTATCTGCCTGAGGTCATGCACCTGCTGTGTAGAGATCAGAGGGCAACTTTTGGGAGTTGATTCTCCTTCCACTATGGATTCTGGGGACTGGCTCTGTTGTCAGGCTTGGCAGCAATCACCTTTGCCCACCCAGACATCTTGCCTGGTTTGCCTTCACTTTGTTGAACATGAATTTCTTCCTTTCATTTAACTCTAGCCCAAGTGGTCCAAACAGCTGAAATACTCTCCATCCATCCTTTGGAATTCATCTCAAAGAAGCCCTGGGTTGATGGGAGATGGGAGAGCATTTCCTGACATCCATGCATCGTCTTACAGATGGCTAGAGAGACAACTGCTCCTTAGCTTATTCAAGAATAGAACATAGTAGGTACTCAATATTAAGCATCAGTTAAATAAATACACCAGGGGTATAGCTTAGTCAGAGTGTTTTCCTCACTCACTAGGCCTAGGGTTCAACCCTCAGCATCACAAGAAAAAATATCGAGGGGTGTGTGTGTGTGTGTGTGTGTGTGTGTGTGTGTGTGCGTGCGCGCGCATGCACGTGTGTACATACGTGCCTGTGAATATGTGTGCATGAGCACTGGTGAGTCAGACCTGTGATCCCCACACTCTGTTGGTTGCAGTAAAATCAAGAGTTCCAGGCCAGCCTGTGCTACATGGTGAGACCCTGTCTCAAACAAGACCTCAGCATGTATTAAATATATTATTACTTCATTGTTTTGTTTTTGTTTTGAGAAAGGGATTAAATGTGTACACCACCATACCTGGCATTCCAGTGTTTCTATTCATAGCTCTTTAGGTAGATGATAACCCCATTTACTGGTAAGGGAGGAAACTGAGACTCAGAGGCAGGGTGATCTCTGTGAGTTTGAGGCCAGCCTGGTCTACAAATTGAGTTCCAGGCTACATCAAGAACCCCTGTCTCAAAAAAATAAAGTAGCTTACTCAAGATCAAACTCAGCAAATAACATTATAGGGGTTGAAAAATTCTTCTACCTTTATCTTCCTGTCATCCTAGAGGAGACTGAGAATTAAACTGAGGTAACATAGAAAAGTATAATTCAGGCTTTATTTGAAATGGAAGGAGCCTACTAAAGACCGGGGCTGGAGTTGGCTCAGTGTGCAAGAGTAGGGAACTGAGTTTTCATTTCCAACATCCTCATAAAGCCTCGGGCATGGCTGTGGGCACATGTTAACCACGGGACTGTGATGGAGCAGAGCAGAAGCAGGTGCCTGTGGAAGCCAGAAAAGGGCATCAGAGCCTTGTAACTGGAGTTCCATGTGGTTGTGAGCCACCCCATGAGGGTGCTGCGACCCACATCCAGGTCGCCTTCAAGTTTAGCAAGTGCTCCTAACTGCTAAGCCATCTCTCTGGCCCTATTCAGAGTGGTTTTAAACGTGTTTCTTCAACTGAGGAGGAAATCTATAATATGCCAACATGGGTGACAAATTATGCAGTTTTGGGGCTTCTGAAACCTCCATAGCAGGTGGTAACTGTAATAGACATATGTATTTCTCTAGCCTAATCACTCTATAGCAGTGGGGCTATGTGCCATGCCCTTCAGGCAAGGTTTAGCCTAGTCCTCTGTACGGGGTCACTACCTTCTGTGGTAGTTTAAATGTTATTACCCCCATAATCTCATAGGGAGTGGCACTATAGGAGGTGTGGCTTTGCTGGAGTATGTATGGCCTTGTTGGAGGTAGTGTGTCACTGAAAGGGTTTCCTATGCTCAGTATACCGCCCAGTGTCTCAGATCATTTCCTGTTGACTGCAAAATGTAGAATTCCCAGCTACTTCTCCAGCACCACATCTGCCTGCACACTGCCATGCTCCCCACCATGATGATAATGGACTGAACCTCTGAAACTGTGAGCCACTCCAGTGAAATGTTTTCCTTTAGAAGAGTTGACATGGTCATGGTGTCTCTTCACAGCAATAGAAACCCTAAGACACCTACCAACGTGATGAATACATTTCGTGAGGTACATCTGTGCCTTTGCAAGCCTCTCAGTCATCAGACCAACATAAGCTGGTAGTAAAATGTGTGGGTAAAGGAAGGGCTGACTTCAGGAGAAAAGGTGGCCCATATTCCAGAGCTGAAGTGGGGGATGTCCCAACCCCCCAATACTGACTTATGTTTAAGAAGCAGAGCCCCGAGCTGCCGCCTTTTTGATCTGCATTCACCAACAGGATCCTTGGACTCAAACCTTTCAAAACTCATTCTAGATGGCTGTGGTGGCACATGGCTTTGATCATAACTTGGGAGGTAGAGGCAGGCAGCTCTTTGCGAGTTTGAGGCTGGCAAATGATCCATAGTGAGACCTGTATCAAAACAAAACCCCCAAAACAAAATTCTACTAGGAATGGAGCCTGGTTCAGTACATCCTTGCCTGGCTTGTCCTGGGTTCAATCCCTAACCTGGCACCACAAAACAAACAAAACCATAACCACACACCCATACCCCACTCTGATCCTTCCAAAATGGCTAAAATCTACTAATTGTAGGCAGTTGTTTGGATGCTAAATGTCCCTGTAGGCTTGTGGGTCTTAGTACTTGCTCCCCAGCCAGTGGGCTGCTTTAGACTGTGGAACCTTTAGTAGCCTTGCTGAAGGAAATGAGTCTCTTGGATTTTTATGGTCTGGCCCAGTTCTGTCCATTCTCAGGTTACTGACTGAGATAATATAACAAGTTGTCCATGCTCCTGGCAGGGTGCCTCCAATCCCTGGACTGTAAGCCAGAGTAAGTCCCTCCCTCCAGTCACATCACCAAGGACTACCCTCATAGGTAGGTACATCATACTTGGCTGGAGAAATACACGCCTGTGTGTTCAAATACAGCCCCTTAATTGTCTAAGGGGATGTTTCCTTCTTAGAGACACTAAGACACAAATGAAGCCAAGCCAGCAAATGTAGAAACTGTTTACTTCCATTCCTTAAATGAATATAAGTTTATTGATTTGATATTCAAAATAGGACTTCTGCAAAATCATCTCAGAAAATATGCATTTGTTTAGATACAAACTGTAGCTGAAACCCTCCAATGGGCCCACCTAGACACTCTCTCAGTAGGTACATAATGATGTCCCTGGTTTTCTTTCAAGACCAGCTGAATTGCTTCTCTCTCTCTCTCTCTCTCTCTCTCTCTGTTTTTCAAGATTTTCTTTGTAGCCTAGAACTTACTCTGTAGACCAGACTGTCCAGGCTGTCTTAGAGCTCAGAGACACGCCTGCCTCTGTCTCTGCCTCCTAGTGCTGGGATTAAGGGCATTTGCCACCACATCTAGCTCAGGACCAGTGGAATTTGGTCAGAACAATCCCCTCAGGCCTTGCTGACTACACTTACAGATTGCTTTTAGAGTTGCCCACATAGTGTACCAGTTTTCCCTAACCACAGTGGGCCCTTTCACTGCCTGGAGTCTATTGTGTTCAGCAAAGTATGTGCTAGATAAGAAATTAACCCAAGAATCTTGACTGTCGTGAGCAGTTCTGTGGTAACAATGGTATATCAGGTACACTTGTAAAGACAGTGTAGTGCAGCAGGATTTGGTGACAGCTGTTGGCCAGAGACACCAGGGCAGCAAGGAGGTTCAGATTTCATTTTCCAGGGGAGGATTTTCTGTGTTGGTCAGACATTGTATTTTTACTTGGCTGGTATTTATTTATTCGGTTTGCAAGCTATTAGTTTCCCCCTGCTTCATTATCAATGGCTAATGAAAGACCATTGCTCCCTTTGAAGGGGAGTTCAAAGCTGCTTTGATTTGGTGGGAATTAATACAGAAAATGGTTAAACAGAAACCTGTGAGGATGAATTGGACTTCACCTCTCCCAGTCAGAATTTTACATCTAAAACTGAAGCCTTGAACCGTTGCAGCTGTCCAAGTCTCTCCTGCCACCTCTATTTCACAGCGTACCCATAGATGTGGGGCCGCACCAAAGTCCAGGACAGTGGAGCCTGGATATGCTGCAGCTTCAGCTTCGAGAAGCCGGCCCGCTCCAAGGTCTTCCAGCTTTCTCTCGTTAGATTGCATCCATCAAACAGAAGGTACCAGACAGGATCCAGAACCTGTTGCCAGAAGTAGTTCCAGGTGGACCTCTCATCCGCCACATGCTCCATAAAGTAAAACGCCCCTCCCTGAGAAAGAAAACACACATGCAAACACACATTTTAAAGACACTGGTTTTGGAGAAAGTGTCATTGGTAAAAATGGCCTCTAGATGTAATTTATAGGTCTTTCTCATACAATAGTTATTTTAATTTCTATTCTTGTTCCTGCCCAGTTGCTCATCTTTTGTTTTCATTTACTCTGGTCAGTTTTAAAAACCAAAACCATTGTCTTCAGTGACTTGTTAATTTTTGTCTTTGTTTTTTGAGACAGGGTCTCAGCGTGTAGCCCTGGTTGGCCTGACCTCCCTATTTAGATCAGCCTGCCTCTGCCTCCCCAGTGCTGGCACTTGTAGTGTTTTTTAATTCAAGGGGCATGAACCCTTCAGCTTCTCCTGGGAGCTACTGTTACCGAGTTTGACATCTGAACTGTCTGCAGGCTGTTGCTTCTGCAGCAGTTTAGAAATTTATAAATTCCAATTTGTCAGCCCTTACCTTTGAAATTCTCTGCCACTCTTCTTTAAAAACAACAACGATGACGACAACAAAACCCTTCCTTAATAGTTTGCCTTTTAGCTTAGAATCCTCCTGAAATTGCAAACCAGGCCTCATCTGTCACTCACCGGCCTCAGTACTCGGCACACCTCTCGCAGAATCTTCTCCTGGTTCTTCACTGAGCACAGCACCAGGGTGCAGACCACAGCATCCACAGAGCCATCGGCTACTTGGTGCATGTTCTCGCCGGCCGCCACCAGGAAGCGTTCAAACTGCAGCTGCCGGTTCTCTGAGACGCTCTTGAACAAGAACTTCTCGAAGTTGGGGTTGGGGTCGACACAGGTCACCCTGCACCCCGGGGGATAGAACTTGAAGTTGGCCCCGGTGCCACAGCCCACCTCCAGCAGCGACAGCTTCCCTGAGGGGCCTGCGAACTCCTGCAGGTTGCTAAAGAGCTCCTTCTTTCTGTTTGCCATCTGCTCATTGTACATCACCGTGAAACGCGACAGGAAGTAGGGAAACCACTTTCGGCATATCCAGTTCCACAAGCCTAAGAGGTTCAGCAGATACATGGGAGATGCCAGGATGCCCACGAGCAGCCGGAGGACCAGGATGGCGAGCGACATCGCGGTGGCCCAGCGGAGGAGAAAGGGTCAGGGCCTGGAGCAGTCCCTTTGAGAAGCAGGGCGCAGGCTCAGGGCCAAGCTCCACAGCCAATCAGGGAAGAAGGAGGCGCTGCCCAGCCGAAAAACAAAACCCCACCCGGTGCTCAGGCAGAAGTTGACACAGCAGGGTGCGCGTTGGCCTAGGGCTGTCCTCTCTCTAATAAGGTTGCAGCCTTAATTCTGATCGGTCTGGTCCTGACTGACCTTCTTTGGGTCTCAAAACTGCAGCAAGTTTCCTGTTGTGGTTTTGTTATGAGCAGTGTGTGTCCTTGCCCCCACCCCACCTACCCACCCACCCACCCAAGTCTTTACTGAGAAGAGTCCCTGTGTGGGGTAGAGCACCCGGAGGTATGGCTGCTGAGACCTCTATCCTGATTTATTCTCCCTTTCCCTCTCCCCACTGCACTCCACCCAGGTCCTTTTTCTTTCTTCTTCTTCTTCTTTTTTTTAAATGAAATGAGAGGGAATCTCGCCTAGCCTCAGTCAACAATTTCCCAAATTCCCTTCTAAAGGGAGGCTATCATAAGTTAATAATTAATCAGAGGAATCTCTGCTAAGTCACTCTTTCGACCCACCTATCATTTAAAGTGCAACTGTTAATCTTCACCTTTATTATACTCGGTTATTATGTAACAGACAATTCAGAGTAAACTAATGCTCAGAGCATTCACATTTGGAGCCTGCTGGGTTTTATAAAATAGTTGTAAGCACCTGTCCGGTTGTTTGTTTGTTGTAAGGCAGGGTCTCACTCCTTAGCCCAATCTGGCTTTGACTTCTTGATCCTGCTTCAGCTTTTTTAAGTGTTGAGATCATAGGTATCTATCACAAAGTCCCAGCTGCACGGACTTCTTGAATTATTTTTTGAGTCATGAACTCACAAAACGATAAGTTGCTATTAAGTTGTTTGCTTCTATTTCTTCTGTGCACTCTTAACAGGTCTTCCTGAGATTAAGTGAACTGTTGAAGCATGGAGCTTTTGCTATGTGAATGACAATAGAATCATAGACACTAAAAGAATTGCAAAATAATACACTCACACAGTTCTGCAAGTCAGAACAAGAACATTACTCCACCAGTTTCCAGATGAAATTGGAGTGAGGCATAACCACAGCATTTGAAAATTTGAGACAGTGGCAGCATCCAGAGGAGAAAACAAAAACAAACAAACCTCACACCCTAAAACATAAGAGTGGCAGGGACTGGTGAGCTGTGTTCTCCTTTTGGTCTTTCTTTTATTTGGTGGTGGATGTGGGTGGCACGAAGATTGAGCCCAGGACCTCATGCGTGCCAGGCAAGTACTGGGTCAAGTATACAGTGACACAGGAACCCCCCACCCCACCCCAGACTATAGAATGGAGATCTGTCTCAAAACCAACCAAACAAAAATACAGCAACGATTCTGTGTGTGTATGTGCACATGTGTGTGCTAGAGCATATGCGGTTTTTAAAATTTTATTTATTTGGTTTTTTTCAAGACAGGGTTTCTCTGTGTAGCTCTGCCTGTCCTGAAATTTACTCTGTAGACCAGGCTGACCTGGAACTTAGAGATCTGCCTAATTCTGCCCCCCACCCCCCAAGTGCTGGGATTAAAGGTGTGCACCATCATTGCCCAGCTTTTTTTTTTTTTTATGGTGTATACACATGTGTGCACATGTCAAGCACCCATGTAGAAGGACGCGTTTCAACAGTGGGTTCCCCTTCCACCTTGCTGATGGAGGGTCTCTTGTCTCCACAGATGGCCCACTGGCTTCTAGCAATTCTGTCTTTACTTCTGCCACTGTAGGAATGCTGGAATTATGGGCACACACCACCCAGTTACTCGGGCCACTGGGTACTCAGCTAGAGCTTTTGCAAGCTGAGCCAATCATGTGGTTTTGTTGGTATTGGTTTTGTTTTTTAAAAGTAGGTGATGGATTCAGGGGCCAATTTATTGTTTCACTATTTGTCATACCCTCTATTTGTTTATCTCATCACATGTTGATATATGATTGGATATTTCCAGTTTGGAGCTATGAAAAATTAAGCTATTAGGAGGCTGGGCCTGGTGGCACATGCCTTTAATCCCAGCAGAGGCAGAGGCAGGTGGATCTTGAGTTCAAGAGCAACCTGTTCTACATAGTTCTATGCCAGTCAGGATTCACAGTGAGACCCTGTTTCTACCATTGCATATGTGCGTTTGCTTTTGAGTACACCAACACGAACCACAACTGTGTTTGCTTCTGTTGCTGTGATAAAACACCATGACCAAAGCAACTTATAAAGAGAACATTTAATTGGGCTTACAGTTTCAGAGGGGTAGAGTCCATGAGAGCCGAATGACAGCCTTGTGAGAGTGAAGGTATCATAGTGAAGCATAAATTTCATTAATCTTATCAGTAAACAGCAGGAGTCATCTGTCTCTCTGGGGGCTCCTCTCTGCCTCCTCTCTCCAGAATTCTCCTCGTCTGGTAGTCCACCTATACTTCCTGCCTGACTACTGCAAATCATGTCCATCAATCAACAAGAGAATCATATATACAGAAGCACATCCCCCATCAGCCTACCCCTGGTGACATACATCCTCTGGTGAGGCCACCCCCCCCCCCACACACACACATCCAGCATGGTCTCACTATGTAGCCCTGTCTGTCCTGGAATTCGGTAGATTATGCTGGCCTGGAACGGACAGAGATCTGCCTAATTCTGCCTCCTGAGTGCTGTGATTAAAGGTATAAGGCCACAGTTTCTAACCCTCCCTTAACAGGCAGCAAATGGGAGACTGTATTCAGACACCTGAGACAGTACATGTGTGAAGGTCAGGGGGCAACTCCTGGAAGTCAGGTCTGGCAAGTGCCTTTACCTGCTGGGCCATCTTGCTATCCCACTCCTAATTGTATTGCGTTGTGTTTTGGTATTTTTGTTTTTGTTTTATTTTTATTTATTTTTTGAGACAGGGTCTTGTGTAGCCTAGCTGATCTCAAGCATCATTGTGTAGCTAAGGATGAGCTTGGACTCCATCTTCCTGCCTCTACATTCTGAGTGCCAGGATTGCAGAACCCTGTCATCATGCAAACTTTACACAGCAGTGCGTGTCAAACCCAGGCAGCAAGTGCTCTCCCAAATGAGCTAAAGATTTTTAGATAGATTTAAGCAAGGGAGTGGGTGTGGAGGGGAAGTATATTAATAGAAAAAAAAGCTCAGGAAAAGAACAAGATGGGTCCAAGGAGAGCCAAACTTAAGTGTCTGAGCAGTTGTCATTGATGTAGTTGGAGTAGACTGAACACCTGTCAAGGGTTGCTAAGAACCTTTTTTTTTTTCCTTTTCCTCTTTTTTTGTAGATGACTCTGTGGGTGTCATGGAAAGGATTGTAACATGTCTTAGTTACTTTTTATTGCTGTGGTAAGATACCATGCCCAGGGCCACTCATAGAAGAATTTGTTGGGGTTATTTACAGTTCCAGGGTGTAAGTCCATCATCATGGCACAGTCACATGGCAGGGAGCAGGCATGCACTGGAACAGTAGCTGAGGGCTTGGGTCAGTCCAGAAGCACAAGGCTGCAACAGTAGCTGAGAGCTTGGATCCATCCACAAGCAAAGGGCAGAGAGGGGTGGGGACAGCGATTACTGATTGCTAATGGTGTGGAATTTTCAAACCTCAAAGACACCCCCACCCACCCACCCACACCGTGACACACCTCCTCCAACAAGACCACACCTCTTAATCCTTCTCAACACTCAAACATATGAGTCTATGGGGCCATTCCATTCCATTCCATTCTCACTACATACCCTGGTCAGATAAAACCACAAGAGAAGCCTGGTGTTGGTGGTGGTAGTGGTATGCACCTTCAATCCAGCATTTGAGAGGCAGAGGCAGGCAGATCTCTGGAAGTTCACACCCAGTTTGGTCTAGAAGGCCCAGAGAAATCCTGTCTCAAAAAACCAAGACAAACAATGCCCCCTAAAAAACCCAAAATACCAAAACAAAAAACAAAACCCAAAACCCCACAAGTGGAGCTAGAAATGTTAGTAACTAAATTTTGTTTTGTTTTTGAGAGGTGGGAAGGAAGGCTAACTATGTAGTCCCCTTGGTGTCCTAGAACTCACTCTGTAGACCAGGTTGGTCTCAAACTCACAGAGATCCTCCTGCCTCTGCCTCTGCCTCCCAAAAGCTGGGATTAAAGACAAGCACCAGCACCTGGCTCCCACCTTGCTTTTTGAGACAGGGTTTCTCACTAGCCTTGTGCACCCCAAGGTCCCAGGGATCATAGGCAGGTTGTCATAATCTTGGCAGAAAGTGCATTTACCTGCTGAGCCATCTCACTGGCTCTCTGTTATAAGATTTTTGTTAGTAAAACCATGATGTTCAGCCAGGTAGCAGCCCTTAAACCCAGTCCTTTGGAGGCAGCAGCAGGTGGATCTCTTGAGTTCAAAGCCAGCCTGATCTATAGGGTGAGTTCCAGGACAGCCAAGGCTACACAGAGAACCCCTGTCTCAAAAAACCAAACAAGCAGACAAACAAAAACCATGATGTAGACATGAAGCATTTTATAGCTATAAATCTAACAACAACTTCATATACAAAATCCACTATCTTTTTAATCCCTGCCTCTACTTACACATTAGGGCATTAATATGATGATTTGTATCTTTAAGATGTGATGCCTAGTGTAGTGGTTCATGCCTAGTGATCCCAGAAGTTGGGAGACTGAGACAGGAAGATCATCAGTTCAAGGCCAGTCTGGGCTCCAGAAGGCCCCATCTCAACTTATAATGCATTATTGTAGATAATTATCCCTAGTCATTTGCTTATTTTTGAGACAGAGTTTTGCTATATAGCCAGACAAGTCTTATATTCCCAAACCTCCTGCCTCAGCCTCTCAAATGCTAGGATTATAGGCTGCAGTAATGTTATATCAATTGAAGGTGATTCATGTGTGTGTGTGTGTGTGTGTGTGTGTGTGTGTGTGTGTGTGTGTGTGAGAGAGAGAGAGAGAGAGAGAGAGAGAGAGAGAGAGAGAGGAAAGAGAGAGAGATCATTGTGAAATCCCAGGATCC